TGACTGCCGCCGTAGCTGCCATATGCCCCAGGAGCCTCTGAAACTGTTTCAGTGGGACCGCCATCCTGCTCTTCCGAGTCCAACTCCATACCGAGAAAAGAGATCTTCTGCGTCTGGGAGAGTTTGCTATTTTCCCAGTTCGGGTCGAAGGCCCAACAGGCTGAGGTGTGAGAGCATCAAATGCCTGTGTTCGCACAACTGATCCTGAGACTGCTTCGTCGAGGTAGTTGAGAATGCGAATGCTCTGTTCTCTCAGGGGAACAAGGGGTACCTCCGCAACTTATGTGAAGACACGGGGCAGCAGGGACAGCCCGGAAGGCAGGACCTCGTACTGATATGCTCGTCCTTCAGACGCGAACAACAGCAATGTTCTGTGGAAGGGTTGACACATGATGTACGCGTCCTTCAGGTCGACCGCTGCAAACCAATCTCGGGGACGGATGCACCCGAAGATGCGTTCCTGCATCAACATCTTGAACGGTAACCGGTGAAGGGCCCGGTTCAAGACACGCATGTCCAAGATTGGTCGTAACCCACCGTCTTTCTTGGGTACAATGAAGTAGGAGCTGTAAAACCCCGTCTTCATATCAGCTGGAGGGACCGGCTCTATCGCATCCTTCGCCAGTAGGACTGCGACCTCCGCCTGCAAGACAGGACCATCGGCCGCCTTCACTGTTGTGAAGCGGATGCCACTGAACTTGGGGGGATGGCGGGCGACTGAATCGCATAGCCGAGCCTGACGGTTCGAAGGAGCCATCGAGACGGGCTGGGTAGCTCAAGCCAGGCTCCCAGACACCGCGCAAGTGGCATCAACGGAACTACAGGCGTACCCGCAGTGGGGCAGCACGGAAGAACGCAGGGACCCGGGCCGGGCGTCTCTTAGCCGGTCCGAGGCGGGGTCTGGGTGTATGTAACACTGACCTGTGTTCGAGCAGAGGGTGCGTGGGTAGTCTGTCCTCCGGGGGAGGGAGTGGTGTGCTTACCATCTCCTGTAGAGCAGGTCCCTCCACCTCTTGCTCTTTCGCTTGCCACCAGGTTTGGCGGGGGCCGCCCTCGGCGACGGCAGCAGCTGCACGATGGGGCAGGATGTACTTGATGGCCTCAGTCTGCTTTGTACGGCGGCCTGGGAAAGCATAGCCATTATTTCTGGATCCGATTCAGGCATTGCTACAGTCCCGGAGGAAAGCAGCACAGCCGAATCTACCTCTCCAGAAAGCTCTGGCTCACCCTCCGATGCAGCAATCGACATCTGGTCATTGGGAGGAGCGCCAAAGGATACGGCTGGTACGCTCCTTGTAGAGGGCCCAGCACGTTCCATTGGCAGCTCAACTGGCTGCGGAGTGCCTCAGACCGCCCGCGCTACTGCCTGAAGTAGTCCCCCCTGGCTGCCACCATGAGGAGAACTAGATCAAGGCAGAGGCAACGGAACTCCGCCCCTTGAGGAAATGGAGCTTGGCCCGTGACTCTGAGATGATCATCTTCCCGCAATAAGAAGATGACTCATCCACAAACGCCACCTCAGCGTGCTACATGCCCAGGCACGTGAGGCAGCGACCGTGACCATCACCCAGCGCCAGGTAACGACCGCATCCAGAAACGCCCGGGTGATACGTTGTCTATAGCAAGACCCACATCGTCTTTATAAAGACGTAACGTCAAGATTGCCACGCAATGTCGTCTTTAGAAAGATGCACCCGAAATTGCTCTTTTAGAGGAAAAAGCTCTTTTAGCGTGCTGAGGCGCACAGGGGAGATGATCATCTGCAACACAAACAGGGGGTAGTGCAGCCTGATGTGTGCAACCCACTCGACACGGGAAACCACCACCGCTGAAGCGCCGTACCGCCAACACGAAGAGCTCTCCAAGAGCGCGCTGAACTCGTTCAGTCTTCTTCTCTCAGTAGAGTAGTCAGGAGCAGAACGATGTGATCGCTCGACTCCGAAGCGAAAAGCTGAATATGCGCTGCATCTGCTGCCTACTTATACTCACGCTGTAATCAGCGGCAGCTGGATGCAATAATCGCATGCCAATGTACATTGGCTCATTTAGTTTACACTCGAAGTAGATTGGTCTCTCTGAGCAAGATCCCTATTTTGTCGGTCATCCGACGTGACGTCGAGAGTGACCGACTGAAAGGGAACTATAATATTTTTTTTAGGAAAGACCAGCCTTTATTTAATTATATATATATTTTTTGTAACATTATAAATGTCTTTACTGTCACTTTTGATCTATTTACTTTATTCAGCACCCTTGCTGAATAAATGTATTAATTTATTTAAAGAAAAAAAAATATTACTGACCACAAATTTTTGAATTCTAAAATTGCACAGTGCTCTGTAGGTTTATTATATTGTACACATTAACAGTGTCAACACTGAAACAGGAAGATGGCTTCAGATTTTTAGGATTAAATCATGATATCATATATAAATATATAATTTTTTTTTTCAAAGAATAATTACAATTTTCATACAAAATTTCCTCTGAATCTGAACAAAATGAGTCACTGTAGATATTGTCTTATCCACAAAACTCTGCGCTGTTTTCTAGGTGTAATCAATATATCATAAACAAGATGGTAAATTAAATTAAATTTAAAAGTTGTGTACTTTTTTTAAGTGATCGTGGGAGCAGTAATTCATCGAATGATACATCTGAATGCACTGTGCAGTCCAGTGCACTGTTTTCGTTTTAAAAAGCTGGTTCATCCTATGATTTAAATTATAAATTTTCTGTCATACAGCTTATAAATGGTAAATCACCTGTAGATCCACTTTATAATATTGTAACATAATTTATTTGCCGATACCTTCAGTTTATTTGTATGTCTTCCCAGCAATACTAACAGATATGTATTTAATGAGGATGTAAAGCTCATGTTTCAGATGGGTACACAATATTTATTTTGAATAACGGGTTTTGGAGTGTATACTCTTTGTGTTGACTTTTACTCATACTAGGTTAACAGGTTTTTTTATATCACTTACAGATCCCTTGCTGTGGAGAGACTAGTGGAAGAAACATCCAATGCTGCAAAACTGAAGTGAGTATTCCTACTTCATCCACATACTTAATAAGATCCACTTTATTATCACTGTCTTAGTGTTACAGTTATTTATGAAATAACACCCTTTACACCTGATTACATCAAGACATTTGTAGACTGGTCCAAAAGGGCAGCTTCTACCTCAAGTGCCAGCATATTAAACACTCCAACTGTAATCTGTCTAGTTGTTCCTCCATGAGTAAATCCCATTTGTATTCATCTGCATGTACATTGGCCGTGTCCTCAATCACTGTACGCTCCAGCAGTTTAAAGCCTGTCAATATTCATCTCATCAGCGCTCCCACTCTCCCTCAGCGCTTACCAGCCTCTTAAAGGGAAAGTAATGGCTGTTTATAGACTCTTCAGATGGTAAAACTATTCTCTAATCCGTCATGTGTTGTAGCAATACTTTTCTATGCATTTGGATGTACAGTAGTAGAGATTAGGTTTTGTCACTTAATTTTTAGTAGCCAAGCCCCACTAGCATGCTTTAGAAAACAGGAGACCTGTCTTCGCTGGTTATCTGACTGGTTAAACCACTACCAGACATTGCTGCCAGCAAAATAAGTGTTGATATTAGCCTTGGTTTTATCCAAAAAGTGCTTGGCTATGTGTGTTTTAGATTGGTGATTGTCAGCTGGTTTCCCAACCATCAGACAATCGACAGTTTTGTAAATGTAAAAACAAAAGTGGAAGTGTGATGTACAAACTATATGGTTTTATCTATCTGGACATTGGTCTGTCTATCATCTATCTATCTGCCTGGAAAATATTTTTTGCAGTGCAGTTTTGTTCATGGCTTTCGAGCATAAGGGCATGTTGTGCAACCTGTCCATGTTGACATCTGCCTAATTTGGCTCCTATCAAGTGACAGATGGATGTGACAGCGTTTTTCTTCCCTTTTAAAAGTTAAACATATTCATTTTGTTGTCCTAAATACAGACGATCATATCATTTGCAATAAAGGGGACATCGGATGCCCATTTTACACAAGTTGGTGTGATTCTTTAGGGCCTTCATGAAATATCTGTAACATACTTTGGTTAAAATTCCTCAGTGGTCTTGTAAAACAACAAAACCTTGTCAAAAACAGCTCTGTTCACACAATCAGACAGCTCATAACAAACTAGCTGTGTTTTCTTTTCAGGTTTTTGAGCCAGAAACCTAACTAAATGCAAAAAAAAAGCTAAAAAGTGAAAATTTCATCCGATGTCCCCTTTAACATTGTTTTTTTTCTGCTTTTCGTGACTCAATAATAGCACCCACTAGTTGTAGACTGTAGAACATTTATGGTGACACACCATTCATTATTTTTTCTTTCAAAGCACATCTTTCTCCCTGTGTTTAGCCAAGCGATAGTTTGCTGTTTATCTTGTCTAATAGCACACGGTTCCCGCTCTAGATCACCACCCACTGACTGATACAGCGTTAGAACCGTTTGGGCGCTGTTCCCTCACAGTTTGCATCAAAGCTTTGGTGTTGAATTGAAGTGAGAGGAGGCAGAACGTGGGCATGGAGCGTTGCAGTCGTTCACCTCTCCTCCTCCTGTTTTCCCTCTTCACATATCCTTCACTCTGCTCTGTGCGTTCCTCCTCATCCGGAGGGACTCGCTTTAACAGCCACATAAATGCACTCTGCTTCTACAAGGACGCCTGCTAGAGCTCAGCTCTGCCAGTGCAGGAAGAAAGTGTGTTTGTGTGTGTGTGTGTGTGTGCACTAAAGCCTGCTCACTGCATACAGATGTCTTGGATTGAAATGGATATCTAGCACCTGGGAGAACAATTAAGCATCTGTGAATGCAAACTCACACTCACACACGGAAAAACACGGTGTGAGTTATATTCTCTTTAGCAGGAGCTGACAGGCCTGTCTGGATGAGTTTAGAAAGTCAGCTGAACTTGCTAGCCTAAATGCGCCAGCCTACCTCAGACAGAATGGGAAGGAGATTGGGAGAAATTGTAATGCTTAATATGATGGGCCAGCATAAGAATTATTTAGCGTCATTTGAGCTAAAGAAGCTAAATTTATTATTTAGTTTTGTACATACAGGTTTTGTAAAAGGGGTTTGATGTTAGCATGTTTGATGATAGCAAGTTCAGTCTGTTGGGCACGAAGCAGGTGAATAAGCATGATAATAGCAAGTAATGGGTAAATAGTTTTTTGATTGAACTGTAGTATTGCTTCATCTGCCATGTTGTTGGATTTATTCGTTTACAGAGCTTGCCACAAAGCATTCTGGTTTATCCTTTTCAACAATGGATAAGTGTGATGCTGCCTTAGAATTTGGCCAAAATTATGTGTCTTAGGAGGTAGCATAATTAAAGGGATAGTTCACCCAAAAAAGAAAATTCTGTCATTAATTACTTACCCTCATGTCGTTCCAAATGTCATTGTGGTACTGTCATGAAAGTGTGTCAAAGACCTGCACGGAAGAGAAGAAATGGTTGAATAAAGTTGTTATTTTTCTTTTCTTTTCGCACAAAAAGTATTCCAAAGCTTCATAAAATTAAGGTTGAACCACTGATGTCACAAGGACTATTTTAATGATGTCCTACCTTTCTGGGCCTTGAACGTGGTAGTTGCATGGCTGTCTGTGGAGAGTCAGAAAGCTCTCGGATTTCATCAAAAATATCTTAATTTGTGTTCTGAAGATGATTAAAGGTCTTACAGATTTGGAACGACATGAGGGTGAGATTTTAGATTTTTAGGTGAACTATCCCTTTAAAATGGCATATTAAAATAGCTAGAATATCCATCTTAGAAACATTGCCAAGCTACGAAACATGTTACCTGTTTCTGGTGCAGAAAAGCTAGTTCATGCATTCATGACCTCTAGACTGGACTATTGTAATGCACTGCTAGGTGGTTGTCCTGCATCGTCAATAAACAAGCTACATGCAGTCGAAAATTCAGTGGCTAGAGTCCTTACCAGGTCAAGAAAATATGATCATATTACCCCAATGTTACAGTCTCTGCACTGCCTAGTGCCTACCTATTAAGTTCCGTATCAGTTACAAAATATTATTAATTACCTACAAGTAGGGCTGTGGAAAATCTCGTCAGTAAAGCCGCTCCTGTGATTAGTGTAGCTTGTCAGTGAACAACGACTCTGTGTAGTAAATGCCGATTTTTTTGCACAGCCCTACCTACAAGGCCCTTAATGGTTTAGCTCCTGCGTACCTAACTAGTCTTCTACCACTAGAGCTTTTTCACATTTGGCTCCCAAATTCTGGAATAGCCTTCCTGATAACGTCCGGGGTTCAGACACACTCTCTCTGTTTAAATCTAGATTAAAGACACATCTCTTTGGCCATGCATTCAAATAATGCATCTCATAATCTTCTACTGCAGTTATATCTGATCAAATGCACATTATTATTTCTTAACTTGGTTTGAACAAATCATTTTTGCTTGGTTGGAGCAGCAGCTACTCTAATTATGTCTCTATTTGTTTGATTGACATCCCGTGGTAGCTAGGAATTACACAAGCTTCAGTCTGGATCCAGTCCTTCCAGTCCAGACCGATCACCTGAGAAGAGATGATGCAAACCCCTCAGAGGACCTCAGATGATGCCAACCCTGAATCAACATAAACTACCAAATTTTGCTACAAGTTTGATTGCAACATATAATTATTACTGTTAATAGTGTTCATCGTCTATTTGATTTCATAATTAACTGAATTTTACCGTACATTTCTGCCATATGTACATCAATTCGACATAGTCACCACTGATAAGCTACTACTAAATATATTGTAGAAACTTAATTTTCTTTAAAGCTGCTTTGCAACGATTTGTATCGTGAAAAGCGGTATACAAATAAACTTGAATTGAATTGAATTGAATAGAATATAAGCACTTTTAAATGTGTTGACAGTCCTTTCTTGTCGATCATAACATACTTCTAGAGAGACTGGAAAACTGGGTCTGGCTTTCTGGGATGGTAATCAAATGGTTCAGGTCATACTTAGAAGGGAGAGGTTATTATGTGAGTATAGGAGAGCACAAGTCTAAGTGGACGTCCATGACATGTGGAGTCCCACAAGGCTCAATTCTTGCACTGCTCTTGTTTAGCCTGTATATGCTCCCACTAAGTCAAATAATGAGAAAGAACCAAATTGCCTATCACAGCTATGCTGATGATACCCAGATTTACCTAGCCTTATCGCCAAATGACTACTGCCCCATTGACTCTGAAATTAACGGTTGGATGTGCCAGAACTTTCTTAAGTTAAACAAGGAAAAAACTGAAGTCATTGCATTTGGAAACAAAGATGAAGTTCTCAAGGTGAATGCATACCTTGACTCTAGGGGTCTAACAACTAAAGATCAAGTCAGGAATCTTGGTGTGATTTTGGAGACAGAAATTCATTTTAAACCTCTTAAATCAATTTTTAAATCATTTTCAAAGTTTTTAAATTCCTTATTTTATTGTTGTGATTATTTTTGTATTATTATTTTCTTTTATTTTATGTTAAGCACTTTGAATTACCATTGTGTATGAAATGTGCTATATAAATAAACTTGCCTTGCATTGCCTTTCACTAACATACTTTTCTTAATTAGCCAAATTAATTATTTAGATTTGCCCTCCTATGTAGACATTAACATAGAACTCTTTTAAGCTGCAGTTATAATGAGGACAAAACATAAATATGCCTAGAACCTGTGGGTGCAGATTCCATGGGCCTAGTGATTCAGCTCTTGTTACAGAGATCTGAGTGTGCGACTAGAGTGACACCTAAAACTGACTGCATGGACAGGAAGAAATGCAGACAGATAGATCATTGTAGGGCATTTAAGGCTTGTAGCATGTAACATTAGTCTCTCACTTTCCATGGTTGTGAAAGTATACGTGTCTGGATGAGTCAAATTCTCTATTTTTAAAGATGAGTCCTGATGAACCAAGAATTCTCTTATGGTGCCTCTCTTATGTTGTTATCAGATGGCCATCTGCCCAGGAGGAAGTGAAGTCTGAGGATTACAATATTCTCTTTTTTTTTTTTAACTGCCCTGCTAATCTATGAACAAAAATTTGTATGCACCTAAAGTGGAACAAAATAAAATTTTATATACTGTATATGTATATAATGTATGTCAGAGCTGGCATAACTGTATACATTTAGAAAGCCAGCTATGTGTTGTTTCTACTCTGGGATGTTGTGCTTGTTGTCATGTACGTTTTACACACTATCATGGTGTTTACAGTGAACATAATCAGTGTTTAAAGTGAAATACTTCCGCACATGAATTTGCTGAACATGTTGGATTTTGACAAGCCAAGCGTGCATGGTAGCCTCGTGAATGTGACATACATACACTGCGCTCTTGTAACATTACGTTTCAGATGCCTGTAGATAATATTGAAATGATTACTGAACACATTTGTGTTGAAAGTGACAAATAATAGTATGTTTCAATTTGACTGATATCTATACTTCTGTTCAAGTTTGGGGTTAGTTAGTTTTTTTTTTTTTTTAAGAAATTGCTTTTGTTCGGGAAGGATGGAATAAATAGATCAAAAGTAGAATTAAATACATTTGTTACATAATATTCCTAATTTCAAATAAATGCTATTTTGAGCTTTCTGTTCTTCAAAGAATCCTTAAGAAATATATTAAATATAAATAAAAATATTTCTGAGGAATCATGTGCCACTGAGAACTAGAGTAATAGCTGCTGAAAATTCAGCTTTGCCATCACAGGAATAAGTTACATTTAAATTGTGTCTGCATTTTCTATAAACATGATTTTAATGTTAATAACTTAAAGGTTCAGTAACTTAGTGAAATAAATTCACACTGAATACATATTTTTAAAAAGGGACCCAATTAATTTAATTTATTAATAGTGGAGTATTTCAGTACTCGCATTACATAAGTTATATTTATTTCAAAATTAATCAAAAATGCACATCATTTGCAGTCTTGCTTGATTGTGGTGTTAATTATCGAATGGTTGGATTCTTGGATATGTGATTATAAAGAGTTCAAATTCAATTCAGATTCAAACAGATCTGCATTAGTTATCAGTGTAGTGTGTCTGTGTGTATGTTTATTGCGAGGCATTTCTTACGTGTTGTGAGCGTTGTCTTAGCGGGAATGTTTTTGCTCTCAGTCTGTACATCCCAGATACAGCCGTGGCCTAAATCTTCTGGTAGCATTAAGATAAAACTGCCCCAGTGCTGAGTCTGGCAGGAGGACAATGCTTTGACCCAGTGTTGAAACAGGGGCTCTTTGAACTGTGTGCTGTGAGACATGGTGCTGGAATGAGTTTTAGAATCCTAGTATATTAGTATGAAGGCCTGGCTCATGAATATTAATTAGCCCATGTTGACATTGCCAGGTAGTCTTGCTAGACTGTCTAGTCACGTAACCTATTTAATATTTATGAGCCAAACCTTTGCAGATACACTTGAATTGCATATAGATGTTCCATGCTGATTTGGCATTGAGATACAATATTAGATCAGCTTTACATTTGCTCATTTCTTCCTGTTTTAATAAGCTAAGCAATGTAATAATCCTGAAATCAAATATGTAACTCATGTTTAGGATGCCAGATTTAGCTATTTACTTTCTTAGTTCAGTATAGGCCAACAAAACATTTTAATATCAGCCATTTAAATTGGCGACATTTAAAGACATTTCTATTGTTCAGCTGCATTTCCTATGGTAATACTCCATGCCCTCATAGAGGATTCTCTGAAATGGGTTGCATGTGGAACGAGACAATAGCAGTAGGAAATGAAGGGTGATGTCTGGAACAGTATGAGAGTGGATGAAGAAATTAATTCCTATGTCTTTGTCTTCTGCTTTCTATCCCTCTTTATTTCCATGTAGAAAGCTGTATTTTGTATTTCCACCTCTTTTATCTATAAAACAAAGACTCAAGCAGATGTCCAGGGCTGCTTTGATTCTCTCTGTATGTAGCGAACAATGTCTGATCATAAGAGAGACATTGATGTGAGAAGAGAGCACAGTGGCCTTGCTGCCAGCAGACAGACAGATAGGGTCAGGATATGTGATCAGTCTGTGCAAATTTTGGGCACTTCAGGCAATGTGTAAGCTATTTGCATATTTTCTCAGTCCTGAATATCAGACAGTTAGAAGATAAATATTTGACTGCCATAAATTGATTGATTTGGAGAGTAATGTGGGTAAATGGGAACATAACATTGCTCAGAATTTACAGAAGCTTCATAAAAACTTTATAACCTTTCATATGACCATGTTTGTGTTTTATGGGGTTATTGGTATTGTAAAATGCAGTGTAAATGGAGATTTTTGGGAGTACAATATATGACTGTGTCAGCTTGGTCGATTACCAGAAGTGTTTTTTTTTTTTTTGTCAATTTTTTTTTTAAAGAATTTATTTTATTTCTTTGATTTGTAAATGTATATAAAATGTATTCTAATTGTAAATTATAACAGTACAAATATTTGTTTACCGTTACAGTACATTTATAATAATATTTTTAATATACATTTTTATATACATTTAAATTTAAAATAACAGTTTTCTATTTTAATTTATTTTCAAATTATTTGTTCCTGTGATGGTAAAGCAAAATTTTCAGCAGCCATTACTCTAGTCTTCAGTGTCACATGATCCTTCAGAAATCATTCTAATATTCTGATTTGCTGCTCAGGAAACGTTTCTTGTTATTATCAATGTTGAAAACAGTTGTGTTGCTTATTTTTTATTTTTTTACTGACTCCTTACTGACACCAAACATAGCGTAAGTAAGTGTGTGTTTTTTAAAACTTCTATACTTAAATTCGCTGTAATATTCTCTCTTTTTCTTTGTTTTGATCTCTTGTTTATGTTAGTATATTTTACTGTTTCATGTTTTATGTAATGTGCAGTTTGGGTTCAGGGTCCTGTAATGTTTATAATGATTTGTTAGCTTTTCTAAAGCTCTGTTGCAGTGGGGTCCAGTCTGACTCTGCAGTGTGTTAATCAATAGGCCTTAGGCAGCCGTCTCATGCGCAGCCTGTGTATGGATAGAGAAAAAGACTCTCTCACTGTCACAGTCTTCCACAAACAAACCCCAGAAAGATAGATAGATTATTATTTAGAGTCTAAAGGCTCTGAGGGAAATAGGATGCACACATACACACAAGTCAGTAAGTACAAAGCCGTTCTTGTTCACAGTGGTGGCTCCTAATTATCTCCCGTCTGAGGAAATTGGGCTCCCTGAGAAACACACTTTTTTTTCAATTAGCTGGTCACGTATGGATGGCTTCATTGGCACCTTGCTGCCAGTAATATTCACACCCTCCACACAGTTAATGCCAGAAAAATGCCACGGAGAGCATGATCAAGGCATAACTGATCCTCATTAGAGCCCAAAATTAAGTTGAGGACTGATAATGTTTGTGCGGAGCCTTTCATTTTTTAAAGGAGCAATGAAATTTGATTGGATGAATATATATATATATATATATATATATATATATATATATATATAAAACCAGATATATTGCAATGTTTTCTTTTTTTAACACTTCAAGCGTTTTTTTTTAAATATTTTTTTGTTTGTCTGTTTAAAGTTTTTTGCTTTTATTATTTATTCATTGTCATATTAATAGAATACAGTATATTAATATTGATTATTGTAATGTTATTATAAATGATTAGAATTTTCAAAATATTATAATATTTTACAGATACATTAAAAAAATTAAAATAAAAAAATGAGAAAAAAAACAAAATGTACTAAAAAAATTCTAAAAATATTTGATAACAGAACACACTTGCGTTAAAGGGTTAGTTCACCCAAAAATGAAAATTAGCCCACAAATTACTCACCCTCAAGTCATCCTAGGTGTATATGACTTTCTTCTTTCAGACGAATCCAGTCGGAGTTATATAAAAAATTGTCTTTGATCTTTCAAGCTGTTTAATACCACTCAGCGGGTGTTGCATGCATCAGTCCAAAAGAAGTGAAATAAAAAGTGCCCATTCATAAAAAAAATTGTCTCACACGGCTCCGGGGGGTGAACAAAGGCCTCCTGTAGGCCTTTCCAGCCATATATTATTGCGTTTTGAATATGGATATTTTTCTTACAAAAATGCATCGATTCGCTTCAGGAGGCCTTTGTTCACCCCCCGGAGCCGTGTGAGACACTTTTGTAATGGATGGGCGCTTTTTTATTTAACTTATTTTGGACTGATGCATGCAACACCCGCTGAGTGGCATTAAACAGCTTGAAAGATCAAAGACAATTTTTTATATAACTCCGACTGGATTCGTCTGAAAGAAGAAAGTCATATACACCTAGGATGACTTGAGGGTGAGTAATTTGTGGGCTAATTTTCATTTTTGGATGAACTAACCCTTTAATCAGCCAGGCTGACATGGCTGTTTACTGATACAAATCATCTACTATCAGTTACAGTCATCAAAACTGGAGTGTTGATATAGGTAGAGTAAATGAATGAACTACATTTCATTTTGTGATTCAGGAGTTTCAAGAAGTGTATGTTCTTAAATAAAAACAATTGGTAGTGAGGGAAAAAGACATTTGATTCCAGTTTACATCTTTATTGTCTGTTTGTTTTTAGCATTTTAATAAAGTTAAATAGTTTAAGTATATTTATAATAAATGTAATATTAATTTAATTAAGTGTAATATCAATATAGCCTGTTTGAGAACCAATGCTTTTGGAAGTCAGTCCACACAGCAGCCATCTTGTTAAAATTCTGTACCTGTCTACTTAAATGAGGAAAGACCGAAATCTATGTAACGAAATTACATTTCAGTAACAAACTCTGTCTTTGTTTCCTTCCTCTCTTTATCTGTCTGTATAGCTACAGCTTCCTGTAACTGCAAGCCGACATTGGAGGTGGAACAATTAATGCGAAAACCCCACACCCCCATCCTCCCTGCCTCCAAGCTCCTCCTACTCCATCGTCATGGCGATGAGCAGTGATCCTGGTTGTGTGGGGGTGGACCCTGACCCAGACTCCTCCCAGGAGGCTGAGATGACTGACAAGATGTCTGTGGTGTCACTAAGGTCTGATCCCTCCTCCAGTGTAGTGAAGAATGGGACAGGTGTTAAGAAAGCTCTGCCCATGAGGCCACACCTGTCAGGCCGGAAGATGTCATTGCAGGAGAGAGGAACGTACGTGTCTTCTGGGAGCGGGGCTGACCGCTATTCCCGAATAGCCAGACAGCCAACCATTGAGTCCAAGCGAGTGTCCATCTCAGACTCGCAGGTGAGAAAAATTACAGTATCTCCTGGATTTGCAGTGGAAATATGATTCCACATATACTTAAACATACTATAATTTTTAGAACTTTTATGACTGATTACTATTGGTCGATAGTTATTTTGGCAGCTTGGTTTCAATAAAAGGTTTTAGGTAGGTGTGGCTGACTCTTAACTTTTATAAAGAATATCTCTTTGGATTTGGGACTTTAGTCTTTGCAAATTTACAGATCTTCTTTATGCACCAAGAGCTTGTAACACTCCAAAGAGAAAGGAAAAAATGAAATTGCATCATGTGACCCCTTTAATACTAATGAGGAAGTTTTGAGTTTTGAAACTTTATTTTTTAGTGCAGTGACCTCTTATACTGTATTTTTGAAAAATGCATGACCCCTTAAAGACAATAAAATAGATTTTTATTTGACATAATATTAACTAAATTAGAAATAGGCCATTTATTTAAATTATTCTGTAATCCTAATATACTGTAGTGTTTTTAAAGAATAAAAAAAATGTAAAAGGCAGTAAACACTGAAACTAACAGTAATATGGTACAAAATTATATTTTCTCAAATAAAGACCAGGTGACACTAATTTTACACATAGTTCACAGTGTATATAACATAGCAGCCAACTGAATATACAGTAGCACTGAATAGTTTGAAATCATTGATTTGAAATTGCACAAAATTTGCATAAATGGATTGTATCCCTTAATGTTTGTGAGTTTCTTGAAATTAAATATTTACTAGATATTCAAAGATTTGTTTAAATCCGAATTTCTTTCATGAAACTCTAGATGGCACTGTCTGATAGGTCTAACTCAATCTGACATAATGACATCATTGTCACATGGTGCAGCTGATTGGTTCTTTTTGTATCAGCAGCCAATGAGCTTGCTGCTTAACATTTAAATACTCAGCCAGTGCTTGCTGTAGCAGTTGCAGCGCACATCAGAAACCCTCCACCTTCCCTAGCTCCACCTGTATAGATCTGCTACGAGGTGATTCATGTATGCTATATGGGGGTTATTTCATGTATGTTATATGTGCAGCAGCAGTATTTCTTACATGCTCACAGCGGCATGTTGTGGATGCATTGGCAGTAGCAAGTCTCGGTACTTGCTCTGCCACAGCAGCAGCAGCGTAGGAGATCTATTCCGTCATGTACATTACCATGCCAAACCCTCTGAGAGTTGTCAGGATAGAAGTGATGTTAATTTGCTGAATGCTGTTGGTATATGAAAAAGCATTATAGCATTTGCCTTCCTAATAATAACAAAAAGGAAAATGCTATAACACTTTTTTGCATATACCATTAAAAAAATACAGTAAACTTATGAAAACTGTGAATGGGTGGTATACTGTGTTTCGATGCTAATCAGCTAAACAGGAAATCTTATAATAAAAACTGTCAAATAACAATTGATATATCAGCCTTGGTGATATATTGGTCGTCCACTACTGATTACTGTTTTGGATTGATTTGCAGTATCAAGTCTTTTATAGTTATTAACATCTGGTCACATCTGACTGATTTTCTTGTATGAAATCCTCTCATATATAGCATGAAGAGCTTGTGCTATATATATGTGTGTGTGTGTGTTTGAAGCAAAACTCATTTCCTGTGATTAGTGTCCAGGTCATGTGGCGACCCATACAGCCAAACATTAATAAGGCTTCTTTCATTCATACACAGCCTCAGCACCCTCCCCCTCCTAACAACCTGCTCCCATCAAATAATATCTGTGTTCTGACCTGTAGAGATGATCTGTGTGTGTGCCCACATTTCTGCTGGCTATATGTTTGTGTGTGTTAATGGGGCTCAAGCCTTTCTGAGGGCTGAGACACTGAAAGGCAGCGGTGCTCCTCATCTTCTATCTGTAGTGTGAGAGGCACTCTGCTCTGAGAGGAGCATCAGCTGGACATGTACTTCTCATCTAACACTCATCCAGTGATAGGCACAGAGGGGAAACACTCTTAGCACTTAAGCTATTTACTGTCATTGATGTAGTTTGAATCTTTTTAATGTACGTTCGTACTGGAGTACTTAAATGATAGGCTTCTATTTACTAAAAGTCTGTCATTATTTACTCACCCTCATGTCATTTTAAACCCATTTGAGTTTTTTCCACAGAACACTTTTTAAATTAATTGATTAATATGGTGTACACATTCAAACTCATCCAGTTGAGTTAGTAAGTTATCAGTGCATTTACATGCGTTTTAAAAGCTTAATTTCAGTTGGACTGAAGGAATTATTTTTCTAAATGTCATAAAACCACTTTAGACCCATTTTTGTGAAGTTGGACTAACAGACATAGATATTGTGATTGTAGCCTAGGTTGATGTATATGTAGACACGAATTGCTATTGGCCACAGCTGGAAAGCTTGAGTCTCCATTATTTGTAATTGCATGAAAAAGGGCAACTAGTGTGTTGTCAAAATTACATTTGGTGTTCCACAGAAGAAAGATGGTCATATGGGTTTGGAATGACATGAGGGTAAGTAAATGATGACAGAATATTTGTTTCTGGGTGAACTAATCATGTAAAATTCATGTAAACTTATTTTGTGAGTTCGCCCAAAAATGAAAATTCTGTCATTAATTACACACCCTCATGTTGTTCCAAACCCAAAGACAGCAGCGCAACTGACACGTTCAAGGCCCAGAAAGGCAGTACGGACATCATTAAAATAGTCCATGTTACATCAGTGGTTCAGTGCGTTGCTGTCTATGCAGGGTCAGAAAGCTCTTGGATTCCATCAAAAATATCTTAATTTGTGTTCCGAAGATGAACAAAGGTCTTACGGGTTTGGAACCAAATGAGGGTGAGTAATTAAAGACAGATTTTTCATTTTTGGGTGAACTAACCCTTTAAGTTTGTTTGACAAGTCTTGTCTGGTTGAAGTTGGCCTTTTTTATTTATATATTTTTTTAAAGTGTACCTTAATCATAAATAATTATTTTTCACAAAGATATTCTATTGACAGCTTTATTACTGTATAAATGAAAATTGTGTAGTAAAGACAGTGTAGTGTAGTAAAATCTTATTGTTAATCTCTAATATCTCAGTACTATTTGTTTTAGTGGCAGAAAGGGCTGCAGTCTCTGATATGATCGCTGGTAGTTAGAGGAAGCCTCATAAAGCAGAGATTAGAGGAACGCAGCGTATCTTTCCCACTTTCTCACATGTTCTGGCATGATTTACTTTACTGCCTGTGAGATGGTTATCACTGGTGGAAAGGGCTGTGGAGAAGGGCTTTACATTGATGGATTGTTATTGTTCTGCAGGGAAAATTATACTTTATGGTTTTCTGTTTCATTAACTTATCAATGTATCATTTCAAAGCAGCATCTTGAGGGAATATAATTATATTGCATCTCATTTGCTAACTATGCTCATAACTGTAAAAAAAAACGGTGTAGGAACATTTTCATAGAATAAGTGATAGAAGAATTGTACACTACTGTTCAAAATGTTGTCGGTACAATTTTTACTTAACTTGAATTCATTTGATCAGGAAAGGGTTAAGCATGGATGATGTGTAAATATAGGATTATTACTTTATAATATAAATCATATTATGAAATTATAATTAGAAACATTTCATGTTATTATCAGTGTTGAAAACAGTTGTGCTATTTATACTTTTCTGGAAACTGTGTTTTTTTCAGGTTTCTTTGATTAGTTCAGAAGGATTGCATTTATTTGAAATAGAACTTTTCATCAAAGTTATTTCATCCTTGCTGTGTAAAAATATTATTATTATTTTTTTAAAGGGGTCATATGATGCTGCTAAAAAGAACATTATTTTGTGTATTTGGTGTAATGAAATGTGTTTATGCGGTTTAAGGTTAAAATTTTTTTTTTTTAAATTATTTTATTTAATTATTTTCCACATACTGTACATTATTGTTTCTCCTCTATGCCCCACCTTTCTGAAACACGTCGATTTTTACAAAGCTCATCGGTCTGAAAAGCGAGGTGTGCTGTGATTGGCCAGCTATCCAGTGCGTTATGATTGGCCGAATACCTCAAGCTTGTGACAGAAATGTTACGCCCCTACCATACTGTGATGATGCCCTGTCTGGCCGGAGCATGATTCAAAAACATGAAAACCCATTCTAAACAAGGCATTCGTTGCATCCAGTGGTGACATAATTATGGATTATAATGACTTATAATGTCTTTTTACGCATTGCGTTGCATCGCGCCGCTTAAACATAAAACCATGTCTGCATTTGTGATCGGAGAAATGACAAACTACAAGTCCTACTCTACACTGCCCAAAGAACTCGCTTTAAATATATAAAATATAAAAACTCTTTAAATATAAAAAACTTACTTGTTCTGTGAGTCAGAACAGCCGGCATTGTAGTCTACTCTCCCAGGAGGATTCGACTAAGGAGCGTCCGGAGGGCTTGCGGCAACCACATGTGACAGACGGTGAAAGCCGATCCGGTGATCCACAGCGCAAAGTTGTTGTATTTCCTCAGCAACCAGCACAGATCAGCTCCAGGCATGACGAAGCAGATATCGTCCTCTTTTGGAAGACCAAACAAAGTAGTTTCGCTTTCACAACGAAGCACACAGCGTCTTTACGACATGGCGGCGGCAACAACAATACTACAGCGAGAATAAAAGTTACACCTTCTTTCTTTGCGTGAACATTTGGGCGGCATTATGCAAATCTTCCCACATAATGACGTAGATATGTGGGGGCATGTTAGAATGAGCCGTTTCAGGTAGGCGTGGCTGACTCTTCACTTTTATAAAGAATATCTCTTTGGATTTGAGACTTTACAGATCTTCTTTATGCACCAAGAGCTTTTAACACTCCAAAGAGAAAGGAACAATTGAAAGCACATCATATGACCCCTTTAAAAAGGTTGACCCCAAACTTTTGAACGGAAATGTAAAACGAAAAAAAAAACAGTCTTTAGGGATGTGGAATTTGTTAAGCTAAATATTATTATTAGAAATGTGAAATATCCCTTAAATGGAGATGGTCTGGGTGTATATTTATATTATACTAATTACTAGGTGCAAAATTACAATAATGCAGATCCATCAACATTAGAACGGAGTAAGAACAAAGTGATGTGCTCTCATCTGGTTTTGCACAGTTACTAATAAATGAGACCCATTTTATGTGGATTTTTGTTTTAATTTATTTTTCTGATGTTGAGGTGAGCTGTTTGCTTCGTATCCTGAGCCTGTTTATCATGTTTCTAATGGTCTCAACTTCTCAGTCTCTCTTTCCTTCATTGTCTCTTTCTCTTCCTCCCAGCAGCTCCAGTCACATCTTTGAGACTCTACTGTTTTCTTTGACTTATAGGACAAGAAAAAAAAGTCTGGGGTCCTGTCTCTCTATCTGTCGTATTTTCCCTCAGACTTCAGACAGCTGTCATACACAATCTTCTCTCTGCCTTGACACTCCAGCTGAAGTGTGAGCAGTAATGTGAGGCTGTTTTGGTTAAGGTACATGGAGCAGTCAAAGTAATTGACTGTCAGATTTCACATCACTGGATATTTCTCTTCCTCCCTCGCTTTTGCCTACACTCTCTCTTTGCTTTTGCTCTTTCTCTGTTTCTTTTTCCCTTTTGCCCTTTTCCACTTTGTTCTCATGTACTTTTTCTTTCACTCTCCTTTGGTCATAATAAACTCATGCTTCACCTCCAGCATTACCCAGCATAACCTACACCACTTACACGCTGTGATCCCAGATGTTATCGTAGTACAACATTTGAATGCACAATATGGTTGTATCTTACTTAAACCCAAGATGATCCAGTCTAATCCGGGTTTAAAAAGAAAAAAAGGACCAACCTGGAAGAGGACAAAGTGAAAATTGAGCCTGTGTGCTAATCCTCCACTGTCACGCTTAAACATTTTATTTCCCTCAGTGAAAACATGATTATATTTTGCGGTTTATTGGTTTAAAGGGTTAGTTCACCCAAAAATGAAAATTAGTTTTACTCACCCTCGAGGCATCCTAGGTGTATATGACTTTCTTCTTTCAGACGCATCCAATCGGAGTTATATTAAAAATTTCCCTGGCTATTCCAAGCGTTATCATTGCAGTGGGTGGGTGGGTGTTTCTGTTGAACAATCCACAAGTCGTCAAATAAAGTGTGTGCATCCATAAAACGTACTCCTGTAAACAAACTCGCGAGACTAGCATATCTCAGAGGTGTGCGCTGGAACGGCTTTTGCGTATGACAGATACCGGAAGTGAGAGAAAAGTGTTTATTACATTTGAAATATGGACATTTTTCTAACAAAAATGCATGGATTCGCTACAGGAGGCCTTTATTCACTCCCCAGAGCCATGTGAGGCACGTTTTATTATGGGTGCGCGCACTTTATTTGACAACTTGTGGATTGTTCAACAGAAACACCCACCCACTGCAATGATAACGCTTGGAATAGCTAGGGCAATTTTTAATACAACTCCGATTGGATTCATCTGAAAGAAGAAAGTCATATACCATAAATATGAATCCCTACTTTTTACTTCTGAACAAATTTAAGGTCTTGTCTAAAGTAACTCCTTCTAGTCATCTATAATCACTTTTAAGCTCTTGTTGTTGGTAAGTTTTGATCATTTGTGTGTGTGTGTGTGCATGTTTATGTGGTTTATGAGGACACAAATTTGTATAATAACATGGGTATGACATAGATATTACAACGAGAAGGTGATTTATGAGGACATTTTCAGTGTCCCCGTAATTCAAAAGGCTTATAAATAAATCAGAATGAGTTTTTTTGAAAATCTAAAAATGCACAAAGTTTCCTGTGAGGGGTAGGCTTAGGGGTAGGGTTGGTGTAGGGCAATAGAAAATACGGTTTGTACAGTATAAAAACCATTACGCCTATGGAGAGTCCCCATAAACCATAAAAACAAACCTGTGTGCGTGTGCGTGTGCCTGTGCGTGTGCGTGTGCGTGTGCGTGTGGGAATACTGCAATGCAGGGCTCACTGAGCATGTGCCAGTAATAGTCTAGGCTCAGCCAGGAATCTAGTGTCCCTCTCTTCCGTCCTCTCTCTTTCTTTCTTTCTCTCTCTGCCTCTCAGTCTTCATTTTTTTAGTTCTTCTCATTATCTGTAAATAAACTTAAGAACCATTAAAACCTTTTCTTGCACTAAGAGTATCAAATTGTTCTGTGTGTGCATTCTCAGCGAGGTTCCTCTCCCAGAGAAGTTCTTCCTCAAATTTTTGCTTTTACCACTACTACAGTCTTTCTTCCTGTTACTCAGAGTCCTTGCCTCAATATTTATGCAATTTCTGAAATGATGTTGAGCAGGGTTGTAACTTTTACCTCAGTTTTAGAGCCACATTTTTCAGTACAGCACAACAAAACAATGAATCAAAAGAAAATGATGTTTGTTGATGTTTTTAATCAAACTAAATGTATTGCTTTTAAAGTAAAAGCAAGTCCATCTTGGTAAAAGTAAAGTAAAATGTATTATGTTTAAAGTAAACATAAAGGTCTTGTTTTATATTCTTTATAATGCTACATTTGCAGTGCATTCCAGCTAGTAGAAAGCAAGGCTTGTCAAATTTCTGTTATTAGGGCAGAATTGTTTGCAGTAGTAATGTTCCCTGCTGTGGAGAAAAGTTTGCAGTTGACAATAAACCGAGGTTGCTGATTCAGATATAGTTATTGCTTTGCCAACTTGGCCGCATGTGAGTCTTTTCACACTTAGCAGCTGATTCAAAGACATCAAACACCCTGTTTTTTAAGATGCATTTCTTCTTTAATAATATGGTCTTGTGGTCTTGTTCAGACCATGGGTTTGGAACAGTTCAGTCATGATTTCGTGAATGGTGGAGATAATTCTCTTACTTCATAGTTTGATTACTCTAAAGGCATCTTAACCAAGCAGATGGATGTAAGCAAATGACATAGCTGTGCATAAATCTTCAGACTTTTGGAAAAAAACATTTATTGTATTTGCAGCAGTTGATACAGTCGTGGCATCATCTCATGGGCACAATGATATGACAGCTTGTTAAAAACAGAAGTCAGCGATTTCCTCCATTTGTTCCCTGATTCAAAATAAAAAAATGAAAGGTTTGATTTTCTTGCTGAAAGAAAATTATATACTTTTTCCATGTTTAATGAATTCAGTTATGCAAAATGACCTTAATGTCAATTAAAAAGTTCTTCAATGAAAACCAATGTTTAAATGGCCTTTCTTGAACAGAATTAACTGCAAAGTGGATCAGTCTTTCTGTCAGTAGTAAAATAGTATTGAGATTGTGGTATTTGCTGTCAGAGTCAACCAGGATGCAAAAGTATTTTAAAATCTTTTCTTTTGCAGTTTCTATATGGAATAGGTTATGAAACAAATGATTTGTTGTTTCCACCTGTAACTGGCTTACATGTTCCCTCTGGTGTGAAGTATATTAATATAGTGTCACGACTCCTTTGTGTGTGTAGCTGGGATTGATTCCATTCTCTCTCTTTCTCTGCTCTTCTCTCTCTTTCTTGCTTGCTTTTTCACAATCTCAGGATTGCATCCAGCTTAACCAGTACAAGTTAAAGAGTGAGATTGGGAAGGTAAGCTCACCTGCATCATACTCCTATTGAGTTATTTTTATAGTCGACATGCATATAAACATCAGAAAAATCTCATGGCCATGTTGTTTCATGGCAGTCATTCAAGCATTCAGACACTGACCCTTACTGACCCACAGCACAGTCTCATAGTCTGACTCATCTCACTCTACCTGTTTTGTTTATCTTTTTTCCTCTATCCATTTCTTCTGTCTTAAAGGGCTCATATGGTGTTGTCAAGCTGGCGTACAACGAGGATGATGACAAATATTACGTAAGTATATTTGAAAATAAATTGTCCTTGTTGCAGCATGACGTGCAGAAATTACACAGTTCAGCTTTAGACACAGTCATGACGTGCATATTGTGAAGAAGTGAAAATGTAAAGTAAATGGAAAAAAACAATATAATGCGGGAAAGAGATTGGAAAGAGAAAAGCAGCATGACAGAGAGGATGATGGAGGAGAGGCAGGATAGATTGAATGGTTATGAAAATGAGAGCAGATGAGGGAGGGTTGTGATATAACAGAAATGACAGGAATGTACAGCAGTCCTTAATTTCATTTGGAGATGTTTATATCAGCCCCCAAACACCATCACTGTTGATCACATATGCACACAACCAAACAAACATGCATACAAATAGATAGACACACAGGAAGTAATTTTACTGTCCTTATTCTCATCATTGCCTGGACTGCAAAGAACACAAGCATAAAAGGTTCTATTCAAATTATGTTCATCAAAATAAACAATATGGACAGAAATAAAATTTAAATTCTGTATATGTAATTGACATTTACTTATATCTAAAAATGACTGGTCTTTCATTTTCATCTTGTCCTAAAAACAGTAATATTTTGTCACCAAGCCCTGTGGTAGGACTTGTTAAATGGAAATCTATTTTTAAATGGACATTTTTATGGACACACTTTCCAATTTTACTAATCAGGTGCCCACGTGAAGTAAATAAGATATGTTTCAAGTTTTTCAAGAAGAGGTACATGACAGAAAGTGAGATTTTCAGCATTAATAAGCATAAAATATGTTAAAGCTGTGCTCATGCGTGTGAATGGAGGCAGCATATGGTAGACTAACAGTTGGAATCAATGTGTCAGAATACCTGAATACCTTGAAATGTCCTGCAGTGTGACATAAAACTACGTTACTCAGCATTTTCAAATTGTTTTATGATTATGTATGCAGTTTTTATGAGCTCATATTAAAGGAATAGTTCACCCAAAAATGAAAATTTGCTGAAAATTTATTCACCCTTATATGAGTTTGTTTCTTCATCAGAACAGATTTGGAGAAATTTTGCAAGAAATCACTTGCTCACCAATGGATCCTCTACAATGAATGGGTGCCGTCAGAATCAGAGTCCAAACAGCTTATAAAAGCATCACAATAATCCATGACTTCAGTCCATGAATTAATTTCTTGTGAAGTGAAAAGCTGTGTTTGTAAGAAACAAATCCATAATTAAAGCATTTAACTTTAAACAATTGCTACTGGCAAAAATACAAGTCCATAATCCATAATAACAGATCCTACAGGGAACAAGTGAAAAAATGTCTTGATGGATTTGTTGCTTACAAGCACACAGCTCTTCACTTCACAAAATTAATTAATGGACAGGGGTCCTTTGATTACTTGTGGATTATTGTGATGTTTTTATCAGCTGTTTGTCTCATTCTGATGGCTCCCATTCACTGCAGAGGATCCACTGCTGAGCAAGTGATGTAATTATAAATTTCTCCAAATCTGTTCCGATGAAGAAACAAACGTATCTACATCTTTGGGTGGAACGAATATTTTCAGTTTTTCATTTTTGGGTGAACTCATCCATTAATGATTAGACTATATGGAATGTATGTAAAGGATGTAAATATGCTCAAAAGGTTTAGATGCGAAATAAGGAAGACACAGTGTTAACGTCTTAGTGTTGTTGGTGCTAGACAGGATGCCAGATGGACAGACGCTTGTGCACACCTCTGTCTTTAGAGTGTACAAGTAGTGCTAAAGAAAATCACATCTATTGAGAGCCTATTCACTGAAAGAAAACACTTTGTTAATGAGAGAGGTCAGATGAGATTGGTCAGACTCCTTCAAGCTGAGAAAAAAGGCCACAAACACTCAAACTAGCACTTCTCCCAACAGGAGAAAGGCACAGCTGAAATCATAACCTTGAAGGGAATGGGCTTTCAATAGCAGAACAGTGGGAAAGAAAAAAGCAACAATTCTTGGTTTTTCTGAAATGTTAACAAACTAGGATCACAATTCAACGTGACATAATGTATCAGTGTATAAAGGGCATCTTATTTGGTATTAGGTGTACCTAATAATGCTATTTTCTCCCTTGTTTGTAGTTCATCTTTTTGCTGGCCTCATGATCACATTTGAATATTTTCCTCTGCTCCTCATAATCATCTGTCATAATAGACAATGTGTCTGAAAGCAAAATATAGCTCCCAGTTCCCAGCTGCATTCATTAATTCATGCTGTGTGGATATATAACAGCAAGGATGAATAGAGGACAGAGATCAAATCCCTTCATAAAGGCAGAGTAGAGTGAGGCTGCCCCCGTCTCTGGCCTTTACACTCCACTGGCCTCACAAAGCAAGGTTTTACCGTTCTAACAATTACCACACATTCTCTTTTTCTTTACAGGTAGAATTAATCCTTATATTATATCTTGTTCTTCATTTTTCTTGCATTTTTTCTCCCCTTTGCAACATCTGTCTGTTTTCTGCCTGTCTTTCACTCTTTTTCAACCATGGTTGAAACTTATCATCAGAAACCATTCAGTTTTACATTTTTCTTGTCGTTCAAATATATAGGTTTATATATAAGTTATTTAATGGAATGTTGGAAGTGTTGCATTATTGTTTTGGTTATTTAGTTATTTTACAGTATGTAATCCCATTTAACATTTTCCAACTTCTAATCTTAGCACATTGTAAAGTTGAGTTGGGGTCAGCAAGAATTTTTAATAGAAATGAATAATTTTATTCAGCAAGCATGTTTTTAATGGATCAATGTTATAATGTAACATATTATACAATGTATAACCGTTTTTGACATTGATGATAATAATAAGAAATGTTTCTTGCGCTCGACATCATCATATTAGAATGATTTCTGAAAGATCATATGATACTGAAGGCTGGAGTAATGGCTGCTGAAAATTCAGCTTTGTCATCACTGGAATAAATTACATTTTAAATCATATAAAAATAGAAAACTGTTTTTTTTTTTAATTGTAGTAATATTTCACAATATTAGTGCAGCCTTGGCGAACACTTAAAAAATAAATAAAGAAAAAAAAACTGTAGCGAGGAGAAAAGTTATCTATATTGTTATTTAATATCGCAAAAGAGAGGCGTTTTCCTTGTTGACCCCACTGTATTTTTCATAGATTACAGTAAATATAGATCCATCACCTCCTACAGCAAACTGTATTTATGTATTGCTTACTTGCTGATTCATCCCATCGTTTCCCAGTCGTTTGCATTCTGATGCTTCAGTTCTTTCCATCCCTGCTGCATTCTAAATAGCAATTTTCTTTCATTGTGCTCACCTCCGACATGTTCATAAAACATTCATGGTTTCCTCTTCACTCTTTGACGAACTGAGTTATTTAAACTCGTCAGCACAACAGACGTAGCCTCCTCCAGCTGTCTTTGAGAGCGAGGAGAAAAGCACTCTTTCTTATTGCTAACTATTATGGATTCACGTCTAAAGTTGTGTACTTTCATATTTAAGATGAAGGGCCATGTGTGTCTTTTAAACATTTATAATTCTGAGATATTGGATTTTATACACTCTTAAAAATAAAGGTGCTTCACGATGCCATAGAAGAACCTTTTTGTCTAAATGGTTCCATAAAGAAACTTTAACATCTGAAGAACCTTTCTGTTTCACAAAAGGTTCTTTGTGGCGAAATAAGGTTCTTCAGATTACAAAAAATCAAGAAAGAGATGGTTCTTTAAATAACCTTTGACTGAATGGTTCTTTGTGGAACCAAAAATGGTTCTTCTATGGCATAGCTTGAAGAAGCTTTTGAAGCACCTTTATTTTTAAGAGTGTAGCATGAAAAATTAAGGGAAAAGACCACAGGGTTTATGCTTCAGCTAAACTTTGAATCCTCTCCATGACAATATGTGAAATTGTATCATGAAAAACTCAAGGAATTTTGAATTTGTCCAGATCTCACTCATTATGAAGCCGCAGGTGTTAGAAATGGGCAGCCTGTTGTATTGCCATTTCATTTTCTGACTGTAATGAGCAGAGTGGCAGAGATTCAGAGAGAGCACTTCCCACGTTACATAAGTCTCCAAATTTTCTGTTTGCGCACTATGTACGTCTCTGTGACTTTCATCCCAGCAGAAAAGACACAGGTGCACAATTCTTCTGTAATAGACGTCTTCCATTGTAAAAAGATACAGATGACTCAATATGTTTTCCAGGAAGTGTAGATTTTATAAGCCCAGTTCTGTGTGCCAGAAGCAATTGTTTTGATTAACATTTTAATTGCTTACAAAGACATCTGATCCAAGCATCAGCGGTGGAATGTGCACAACCCATTTGTTTCGTTTCTTTAAAAAAAAAACAAGTTGATTTACAAATCACAAGTACTTTGGTCTGCTTGCTTCTTACAGTCTGTCTGTCACTCACTGTTTGTGACCAAATTTCCGCATTCACTTTAGCAATCACCTACGCAGGAACACTGAGTGTCCCATCAAGGCCAGAAGCAAACGAGAGGGCTGCAGTGGATTAAACTCTGTGAAAGCTTTGTTTGATTAACACGTAAATGGAAAAGTCAGTTGATTGTGTCACCTACTTTATAGATGGAAATATGTGTGTTTGAGAACACCTACCGTAGTTCAGACCTTAGTCTTGGCAAGATTGGCTGTTTTGCTCTTTTCATCTGTGTCTTACTTGTTTTGCAGGCAATGAAAGTGGTATCTAAGAAGAAGCTGATGAAACAGTATGGTTTTCCCCGTATGTATGGCATTTAAATTAAGTTCTAATTTGAAACCAGATGTATGCAGATGTTATGCACAGCAGATGTTGTCCTGTGAGGCAGATGTTGAGGCAGTCCTCTAAACCAGCTGAAGAATTCAGTATTTAAATGAAGCAGTAAACTTAGTTGCATTCTTTCTCTTTGCAGGCCGCCCTCCTCCCCGAGGTCCTAAAGCAGCCCAGGGGGAGCAGCCCAAGGTGCTTGGTCCTCTAGAGAGAGTTTACCAGGAGATAGCCATCCTGAAAAAACTGGACCACCTCAACATAGTTAAATTGGTTGAGGTAAGGACTGTGGCCATATTCCTTAATTCATGTGATACACTGTTAATAAACGTCTGCTAAGTAATAAAATTAATTAATGAATAATTTAATAGAAAAAAATAATAATCTGTTCTTCTCTTCTAAATGTTCTTCCTAAAAATACTTTGTTACGAACAAACTTCTTATTAATTATTAAAGTGCCCCTATTATGGATTTTTGAAAATTACCTTTCATGCAGTGTGTAACACAGCTCTAAGTGAATGAAAACATCCTGCAAAGTTTTCAATCTGAAAGTGCACCGTTTATAAAGTTGTCTCTCAAAAGAGTTTGAATCATTGAAACGAGTCGTTTCATGTTGAGGTCAACATGAAACATTAGCATATTGCCTGCCCACTTGTTGGTTTGAATGAAAATGCAAATTCATTCTTGGCCACTAGGTGATGCTTTTGGAGCAGTAAAAATAGCTGTTTCCCCGGTAACGCTGTACACAAAGCAGCACTGCGCTCACAAACGCTGCTTTATCAGGCATTACAGACATGATGAAATGAAAATGAGACCAATTTGACCAATCACTGCAGATTAGCGTCATGCAAAGGAGAGGTTTGGAAAATTAATCGTTGAGCGAATCATTTGGAAGTCGTTGAGCAAATAAGGTAAAAATAAATGCATATAAGACAATGAAAGTGTTTTTTGACCTTGCATGCATGTCAACCTGTTGTTGGGGACTCTCAAAACCAAAATATGAACCTTTCATAACCCAAAAATAAGGGTACTTTAAACATTTCTCCTTTGAATGTCCTTCCCAACCAGTCGTCCTGTCCCTGCAGCTGAAAAACACCCCCACAGCATGATGCTGCCACCACCATGCTTCACTGTTGGGACTGTATTGGACAGGTGATGAGCAGTGCCTGGTTTTCTCCACACATACCGCTTAGAATTAAGGCCAAAAAGTTCTATCTTGGTCTCATCAGACCAGAGAATCTTATTTCTCACCATCTCACATGAGGAAAAAAAATAACTTAAATGATTTTAGCAAATGGCTGCAATATAGCAAAGAGTGAAAAATTTAAGGGGGTCTGAATACTTTCCGTTACCCACTGTATATTTAATAATAAAATAATCAAAATACAAAGAGATGAAATTTGGAAGGAAGTGAACGCAATTACCCTAACAGCTCAATAACCAAACTATATTTCAAACTAGTCATGTATCATTATGTAGTTTGTGCCAAAGAGGAGAAAAAAATAATAGAGACACTGAAAATCAGCTAGGAGTAAATCTGTTGAAGAGAGACGCCCTTAATGCTCCTGAGAATGGGATGTGGAGAGGAGTGCGATCAATCACAGGATAAAAAAAATTAAGCCAGAATGGAGGGATGCTGAAGGAGAAAAGCGCTTTTCCTTCTCTCCCACTGTGGTTCCGTCCGAGTGCTCTTCAATCACAGCAGCACCCACGTACATCAGCAAAATTAGAAAAGAGGGGTGAGAGCGTGCGTGTGAGATAGAAATTGAATCCGAGCATGAAAAATGTTTAAAGGAAACTTAGAAAGTGAGGCAGAGGAACCACCTACACTCCAATCACCTGGGCTCTCCTACTGTCAGTCCAAGTATAGTCTTAAGTTAGGAGTGTGTGCGTGGCCATTAGGAGCAATTCAGAAATGGTGCTCTGCTGGCAGTGAAGGATGAAGCACCTGATGCTTATCGAATCTCATCAGCGGCGCTGTGCCAGTAGCTTGGCTGTTTTTTTTCCAACAAGCAGTGGTGTAGAGTGACATAGGCTTCAGCAATTTTTTTCCATCATATTTGCACACACAGCTTTATCACTGAGCAAGCTAAGGAAGTAATCAATCATGGTCTTTTAAAATTTTGTCTCTCAGAAAATGAAATGAAGAAAATGCATAAAAATAATTAAAAACCGATAAACTCAAGTCAGATTTGTTATGGGTGTTACATATTTTCCTAGACACAAAAACCTGGACATAGTGCCATACAGTGCCTGTAGCAGGTGGTGTTTTTAATAAGGTTTCTATTTCAGGTGCTGGATGATCCAGCAGAGGACAGCCTTCACATGGGTATGTTCTTTTTAATATCAATTTAGTTGTAAAATGGTAAAATGTGTAATAGACTCAACAAATGATGGTGTTTTTACAGTAGCTGAAACACCCATTAGACCCGTAGTGTTGTACAATTGTAATTACACTACAGTTCAAAGAAGATTTTATATATATATATAAATATATCCATTGCTCCATTGCTATTCGTCTCACCACATCACTGCTCATTTGCATAAAATTAAACCCTTTTGACTTTTGTCAGATCAGTGTCACTCATATCATCTCAGATCACCAACTCTCATTAATTGAAAATGAATGACCTCTGTGCACTTTGTCACTGCAAAACTTTTGTCACTATAAAGTTTACCATTACAAACTTTACTTTTTAATGAAAAGCAGACAGTGATATGTTTCAAACAGATCAAACTGTGCAGCCTGTCTTCATAATGGGCTGAAGTGAGAATCTGTAGAATAAGCGTGTCATACGTATGACAAATTTAGTTGGCTTCTCTGACTCATACTGTAGGAATGAATATAAGGTGTTTGTGCTGATGGACTGCTACAAAATCCTAAATGACTTCACACCACTGTGCAATGGTGCGAATAAAAGCACAAATCATGCTTATTTGTGAAAAAGAGCTGGGTCATTTGAGGATATGACATACTATATGAGGACTGTGAACATTATATTTCATAAAGTGCTCTGAGTAATGGATTTGTCAATAACAGAATGTCTTTTCACTCTGATTTTTCTTTAATGACTCTCTTTCTGATCTTTCCACAGTGTTTGAGCTGATGCAGAAGGGGTGAGTATTCTGTGTGTCCACTTAGACCTCTTTTGTGCATAATTGATGCTTTCGCCACGCTTTCTTCCATCCTGTATCGTTTCATTAATCACTTCTTCCCATCTTTCAATGACTGTGTCTTGTCTTGCATATCTGTCATCACTTAGATCTGACTCAGTTTCCCGTTTTCTTCCCTTGTTCCAAAGGGATTAATTAAGTACTTATGTTCTCACTCAGTCTCTTCACTTTTTTTTCTAAATCAGATCTTTTGTTTTTTGTTACTGAATAGACAATGTGACTCATTTTTAATCTTTTCAGTATTCCTTCTGGTACTTGTAGTTTTTATTTATTCTGTTGCTTTCTCTGCATTTCTAAAGCCATAAAAAGCTAATTTAAAGGGCAGCAGTCTTCCAGTTTATTACAAGACCTCATTTTTTCCAAATGTGACATTTTACTTCGGTTGAATATGAGATTTTGCCAAGTGGCCCAGCTTTGTTTTGGAGAGAAATGTTGTTTGTGGGCTTCTGCCTTGAAAAGAGCAGATTAGAACTTACTTTGCATAATTACAGAATGGTCTATTTTCACTAGACCTGGCTGAATATGTTTGGCCTTTCTGCTCAATCGTGATTCACTGCCTGTAATGAATGAAATGGCCTTTGAGGACCCTGTTTTGTGCTAAGTGGTTTGTGTGATTGGTTTTTATGTAAATCTCACAGTCACCATTCATTTTGAAGGATTCTATCTACTGTGTGTGCAGTCCTGTAGTTTCCCAGCACCCTTTGTTCTGTTGCACAACTTTCCCAGTGCTGCGTTATATACGTATGTCTTGCAAACATTTGGAAATAGGTCACTAAAAACTGGAATACACTACATGACTTTTAGCGCTGATTTATAGTCTGGAGAAGTTCATGCTAGTTGGTGAAAGTTGGATTTTTCGTAGAAAAATATAATGGCTACAGACTCCGACGTTTTAGCTTTAGACTATGATTCCATTAAGGGTGTACTCACACTAGGCGTTTTGAACCGTGCCCGAAAGCGTTTGACCCCAAAAGCCCGGTTCGTTTGACTAGTGTGAGCGCTCCGTGCTCGTTCGTTTAGTCGGCCCTGACCTGGTTGGAAGAGGTGGGCCAGGGCACGGTTCGTTTGGGCTCGGGCGCGGTACGCATGCAGTGTGAGCGCTAACCGCGCCGAAGCAAGGAAAAGATACTATTTTGTGTGCGCTATATCATCATTACGACCACAAACATATTCTATTACTACTACTACACTACACTTTTCAATTAATTTAATTTAATCAAGTATATTTAGGTTTATATTGGGTCTGGTTCTTACCTTATTGATGAACAGGAAAGGTAGTTTGCGAGTAAAGTTGCAAATTATTTCATTAACGTCAGCTGCCTTCGTAATAATTTTCTGATACATACAAGTGAAAATCAATGCATAAATGATCAATTAATTATTATTAATTATTCGGCAGAATATTAGCGAAAGTGGTTTTCTCTGTTATCTCATAAGTGTGCTCCGGCCCGGAATGTTTAGTGCAAGTGTGAGTGCAGGCCAGCGGGGGGAGGGGGGATAATCGCGCTCGGGCTCGGTTCAAGGCAACCGTGCCTAGTGTGAGTACACCCTAAGTCAGATGATATCAAACCTGTTTGATATTTTGAGCCGATTTTAGAATATGTATTATTTTTATTTGTCACACATCTCTTAGCAACAAAGACACAATAGTGTGTGATCTTTAGTCATTCTGTAACTATTTACAAAATCGGCCAGTGTATGATTCCTTGCGTTTTAAAATCTGTTCAGATTTTAAAAGTTGTGTAGTGTATTCCAGCCTCAAGTTTATGTTATCTAGCTGGCTAACATAAATTAGATGTCGAAACTACAAAAATAACTTACAATATGGATTATATATTATAAACCAATAATTGTCTATTGTTTTTCACCAAAAGTCTATACAGTTTGCAGATCACTTGATTCATTAAAAAATGAGTGCCACATAAAATAAAATGGGGAAATGAAATAATATATTTATTCAGAATTTAAAAAAAAATAAGCACATTTAACTCTTAAATTTAACAATAAATAACAAATTGATTAATCATTTTAAATACAACATTTATTGTCCAGTTTTATAAAGCAAAATGCTTTTGTTTTTCCAGATAAAATCTATCTCAAATATAATATACATTTAAAACTTTTTAAATATTAAATATCTAAATATTTTATACAAGGAATGTATCTCTTTTTTCTGGTGCAAATAAAATACATTGCTAAAAAAAATCTGTGAGGATTTTGAGAGGTACTGTATGTAAAAATCTGAAATCAGAATCATTGTTATTGATTCAAGCTGTCCTGGTTAAAAAGAAAAAGTAATGTATTTAAAATACTTTTATTTCATACTAAGTATAGTTAAAACCTATTAACATTTTTATTGACATATTGCTCGAGACTTACTGATATAAAAAAATTATAATTAAACTTTATTTGGAGTACTAGTGCACAATGCACATTTCTTGATATTAAGCCTAAAATGTGTTTCAGGATTGTATGATCTTTGAACAATATCAATCTTTAAATGCAAGATATGTAAAGTGTACCTAAAGTATACTTGCAATAGTTCTACTTTAACACAATCAAATATACTTCAGTATATATTTAGTTGGACTTCAGCACTACTTCCGCACAATTAAAGTGCATTGGGTACAAAATTAGTTCTAATTTAGCAGACTTTAAGTACAATTGCAGAATATTTTTATTAAGTTCAAACAGATGCCATTAATACAGGTAACGAGTGGAGGACAGAGGAGCCTCTTAAAGAAGAAGTTACAGGTCTGTGAGAGCCAGAAATCTTGCTTGTTTGTAGGTGACCAAATACTTATTTTACCGAGGAATTTACCAATTAATTCTTTAAAAATCCTACAATGTGATTTTCTGGATTTTTTTTTCTCATTTTGTCTCTCATAGTTGAGGTATACCTATGATGAAAATTACAGGCCTCTCTCATCTTTAAGTGGGAGAACTTGCACAATTGGTGGCTGACTAAATACTTTTTTGCCCCACTGTAGGTACATGTATTTGTAGTATACTTAGCTGGGCATAAATGTATTTCAAATACTTTTTAGTATATTTATTTTTCACTAGGGTGGTTTCATGTTAAAGCCACATCAAGAGGACATTTCAGACAGTATATTGTATCAAAAGTTTTGATCTCTCCACCTATAATTTCGTTCAGTGTTTCTCTTCCTGAATCATTGTTGTCTGTTACTGTCTTTTATTAGTACTTTATCAGTTAACTTACAATAAAGTGTCTCTATTGGTCACCAGCCCTGTGATGGAGGTCCCCAGCGACAGTCCGTTCAGTGAGGACCAGGCCCGCTGCTACTTCAGAGACATTGTTCTTGGCATCGAGTACTGTGAGTCATTTCCTTTATTTTAAAAACCATTTTCGAATTGCTGGGTCGACCTCACTGAGTTCCATTTTTAGTTTTTAGGAGACCACCTTGACATGGATTTTGTAACAGAGCATCTGAAGTTAAATAATTCCCAGTAGAGAAGAGTGAAGCAAACTCCAAACTCCTACTACTCCTACAGTGCCTGTCATGAATCATTACTTATGTAAAAATAAAGACCCAAGAGAGTTCTGTCTCAAGAAAATCTCTATCTTCTATTTAGACAAGTCTAAATAACTTTATGGTGATCAACATATATGTCGACAGCTGAAGTTGTATTGAGCCTTTAAACAAGATGTAAATAACTTTATATAGCTTTATAGCTAACTCTGGCACAACACTGTTGTTGTGCGTTGTCCCTGTACAAATAAATTGAATAAA